CACACACACACACACACACACACACACACACACACACACACACACAAGTTTTGAGTTGTGTCCTGGGCAGCTGGCTCCGTCTCACCTGCTCTGGTTGAAGGTGTGGATCTTCACCCGGTGGTGCGTGTACTTCTGCAGGATTTTCTTTGTGTCCTCATCCGTGTTGAAGGAGTTCATGAGGACCAGAGGGACATCGGTGTTGTACGTCTTGTTCAGGTGCTGCAGGACATTACAAACAAACACAACTGACTTTAATCAAAACTCAACTGAGCTGAAGTATCTTGGATTTAAGCTAAAAATATCAAATTAACAAACTCCTGCACAATCAGCACTGAAGGAGTTTCAATGTGGATGAATAAAAAACAGCACAAAAGACGAGCATTATAGACAAACCAATTAAAAGTGCAAAAATGATTGTGTTTTAACATTTATGATACGATTCTATTTTCAGAAAGATGTTAACCATACTTTCATGTACAACGAAGATAACTTTTAAAAAAAAGTCACCCCATAAATACTAAAGAATACTCAAAATAACACAAAGGAAAAACAGTAAAGCATATAAAGTAGTCCCTCACTATTTCGCGGTTCGTTTTTTGCGGACTTGCTCTATCTCGGTTTTTCAAAATAAGATTGGACATGACTTTTTTTTTAATTCATTTATTCAATCATTTAAAAGAAACAAAATAAAACAAATTGATCAAAAAGAAAAAAAACATTGAATGAAAAGGGTGCAGAAAGAAGAACAAAATTCTTACAATATCTGCCCCTTTTAAAATATATATAAAATAACTTTAAACAAACAGGCTTGAACGTCTCCAAAGTGAAAACAAAAATATTAGGCATCCTTCACTTGGCACAATACTTTCCTAATAATTTTAACTTGATCATCTTTTTAAACATATAAATTGTTTTAGAAATGTTTATGGCGATATCAAGGCAATTCAACAATCCTATTCCCTGAATTACAACGCAGCTCCTTCACACTAGTTCGAAATGGAGGTTTTACAAACCTGTCCATTCCCTTAAGGTGACTCTCTTTTGGAAAAAAAAATTTTAATTGAATATTTGGGGGTAATATTCTTTGTGAGCTTTATACATGACTTGCAAAATACTACCAAATCATAAAATTTTAATAATTTCAACTCATGAAATAATATATTTGTTGGGTGACCATAGCACTTCCTACTAATTCGTATAGCTCTTTTTTGTTAAATGAAAATAGGGTTTGTAATTGTTTTGCATGCTTTTTTTAACAAACTTTAATACAATAGATTAAATGTGTACTTTTTTTCTTTTTTTTTCCTCCCTGGCTCTCGATCAAGGTGGCTGCTTTTGTCTTTCCTCCCCCGTTTTTCCATCCTCCTGCTCTGCTCTCTTTGTGTCTGAAGCGCTTGGTACACATCTCCCGAACATAAATTAAGATTATGGATCTGGTATCCTGGGTGTTAAACTGTATTGATAAGATTTTTTCAACAAAGCGACAAGGTCCTGGAGAACTGGCGTGTCCAGCTGAGACACACACTGTGGGGTACGTCATGGACCCGTGGGGAGTGTGGCAGCTGATGTGCCTCTCAGTTCTGTCTCAGGAGGATGCTGAAGACGTTTATGTATTTGGAATTATGATAGCAGGGACTCTGCTCTTGGGCATCAGCGGGGCTCTGTTTTATCGACTTTTGAAGAAGACATCAGCAGCAGGTTCGGCCATGGCAAAGCGTCTGAGTCAGTGTGAAGGTTTGGTCCGTGCTGTAGGATCTCTAAATCAACTGCTTTACGAGCTAAACCGTAAGTTCACTTCACTTCCGGCGAGCTGATGGACGACAGCTCCCTCCGGCTTCTCTGCAGTCTTTTATCATCAAACTGACCTGTTTTTTCTAGCCAGACTAAAGTTCGTCCCCCTTCCAACCGAATTCGGTGTTCAGTGACTCAGAGAGCTGGACGGGACCGTCCAAAAATATATTTTGGTCCAAGACCGGCCGCTCCCACTCCACCGGTCACTCTGAGCGCACCCTGCCGGCCAGGTGACCCCTCGAGCTGGGGAGTTGTTGCACGAAGGTCCGGTGTTTTTTCCTCTCTCTCTCTGGACCTCAACAAACTCTCATCTGGGCCTTTGTGGTTCTACCTGGTTCCGACAAGAATCGCCGGGTGGTATTTCGCTGGTTTTCTGCTGGACTGGCCTCATGGTGTCTTCATAGGTGTGGGGGAAATGTACCTGTGACCCTCGAACTGGACCAGAACCGAACCAAGTTGGCTGTGGGGGACTTTGTATTCAACAGAGCGGGTCTCAGCTTCAATGAGCAGCCCGTTACTTTTAATGGAGGACGGTCCACCTCCGTGGAATCGCTGTGTTCACCTGGAGGAGACGCTCCGGTGCTTTGAAGCGCCGCCGAACCGGAGCAGAACCAGGCCAGGGACAACTTCAGCCTCTTCGTCTCTCGTGCTGTGGAGCGCCGGAGCCGGACTGGAGCAGAACTGGACCGGACCAGTGACGACTTCAGCCTCAGCCTCTCCGGTCAGTCTCGTTTTTCACCGGGGGTGCCTCTCGTGCTGTTGGGTGCGGAGGTGTCGTGCAGAGAAGCAGAGGAGCAGCGTGAAGGAGCAGCGCTGCATGGTGCTCGAGAGAAGTTCGGAGTTTGCATCGGAGTTTCTGCAGGCCTCCATCCAAACTCACCTGGATAATAATTAATTTTATTCCGGATCACGCTGTTGGCCCCTGTTGACCTGAAACGAGCTAGGATCATGCCTTTCACTTCAGGAGGATTTTCTGGCAGCTCACTCTGCTATTTGCTGCGAATTATCCGTTTCTGTTTCGGCCTGCTGATTCTGGACCCAGCTTCTGTTTCCTATGGGAGCATCCATCCATCTTCGCAGGGGGGCCGGAGCCCCCCTCAGCCCAACTCAAACTGCAGTTGGGCCACCTCGTCGGGTTTGTTTGCCCGTTTGAACTGTGACGTTTTCTGGTCTGAGACTTTTCTGCATCATTCATATTATTGTCACTATTTTCAGTTCTCAGATTATCTGGAGTCACTGAATCTTGTTAATACACCTGAATCTGCCCATCACTGCAACTTTCACTGTTTTTGGGTTCTGAATGATCACGTCTTCATTAATGTTTCTCATGGTTCGATTAAGGTGGCTAATTGTCACACTGTTAACTCTTGTAATTACACATCAGTCACAAAAAACTCAAGAAAATGTCTGATAATAATGTTGTTACTGCTCTCAGGGATTCAGCCCAACCCTGCCCCCCCCCCCCCCCCCCCCCCCCCCACACACACACACACACTTATTACAGCACACCAAATGACTAAGAACGTGTCTGGTCTTCATTTTCTGCATGTAAACGCTCGTAGCCTTCTGAGAAAACTTGATGCCTTGAAAATTCTGGTCAGTTCTTCTGGGGCAGACGTAATCTTCATCTCTGAAACTTGGCTCAACAAATCTGTAATGACCTAGCAATCAATGGATTTAACATCTACCACTGTCATCGTCATAAAGGGGGGGGGGGGGGGTCGCTGTTTACATCAGAGATTCTTTGGTTGCTAGTCCTGTGTCTTCTCAAACAATTCCTAACCAAATTGAGGCCTTAGCTGTAAACATCACTTTGAATGGAGGCCAGATTTTATCTGCAGTCTGTTGTTACCGTCCACCTTCAGCAACACCTGAGGCTCTGTCCTCCCTGATGGAATTCCTTGGTAATTTAAAATTCAAAGAGATCTTTTTGGCAGGAGATTTCAACATTGACTGGACTAAGTCGACCCCCCTCTGTGATAAATTCAAGGAATGTTGCCTGTCTCTCAATCTTACCCAATTGATCAACTCTCCGACAAGATTAAACAAAAACCGTCCTAAAAAAATCCACCATCTTAGACCCGTTTCTAACGAATATGCCTCACAAATTCCCTGGTACAGGTGTATTTGCCAATATCTTGAGTGATCATTGTGTGACAGCGACTCAGAGATATTAAACTTCCACCTTCTAAGCCCAGATTAATTCAAAAAAGGGATCTGAAACATTTTTGTTTACAGTCATTCCTCTGGGATCTGTCTCACTTTGACTGGCATCGTATTCTGTTAACTGATGAAGTGAACTCCGCTTGGAATTATTTCCATAATAATTTCATTTATTTTGTGAACAAACATGCTCCTTTTCGTCAGTTCAGAATATAGGGACGAGACAGCCCCTGGTTTACTCCAGAGCTAGCTGACCTCCTACACAGGAGAGATCATCTTTGGGCTGCAGCGAGAAAATCTGACTCAGACACTGATTGGTTGAGTTTTCGACAGATGAGGAATAAATGCACAACTGCCATCAAAGCAGCAAAACGCAACTATTTTTTATCTCAGACCTGCAAAAATCGAAATGACCCCAACAGATTCTGGAAAACCATCAAATCTCTCTCAGGCACCCCCCAATCATCTGACCTCCCATCACAACTTCTCGTTAACTCTGTTCCTGTGTCAAATAAGCACGAGATCCTGAACTGTTTCAACAAACATTTTGTTGCTTCTAGTTCATTATTTGACACAGTTACTAATGGAAAATCAGCCACTTCACTTAAAAATCAAACTTCTACAAATCAAATCCCTCCTACAAGTCAATCCTCAGTTAAACACAGCTTCTCTTTTTCTCTGTTCTCAGTTAGTGAGGTAAATTAACTGTTAAAAGATCTTGATCCTAAAAAATCTGCAGGTCCAGATGAACTTCCACCTTATTTCTTAAGGCTGGCTGCTCATATCATTGCAGTCCCTGTGACCCACATCTTCAATCTCTCCATAAGACAAAACTCCATCCCAGACATTTGGAAAACTGCCTTTGTTCTTCCTTTGCTGAAGGGAGGTGACCCCACCTCACTGAACAACTATCGGCCAATCTCTAAACTCAGTATTTTAGCCAAGGTTCTAGAAAAACTGATAAACTCTCAAATCAAAAATTATCTGGACTCATTTAACATCTTACCTCCCCATTAATTTGGTTTCAGGAAACAACACAGCACAACAACTGCTTCACTGAAGGTTCTTAATGACATTGTTGAAGCACTGGATGCTAAGGATTATGGTGTTGCACTTTTCTTAGACCTGTCTAAAGCTTCTTCATCCCTGAAAGAGTGAAGATGTTCACATCCTGGACAGAGAGGAACAATGGTTTGAGAGAGGAGTAAAGGAGGCCATCTTTGTGAAAAGAAATCATCCATCGTTAAACAGGGGTGGAGGCCTCCGGGTTCAACTGTCCCCCTCTTACAATGTTGTGATTGCTAGTATCACTCAGCCCTCTGTGAACAGTAAACAGCCATCAGTGTGCTAATGATCCATTGTTAGGCTGATGGTCCTTCTTGAGCATGTGATCAGCTGGTTTTGGTTGTCAGCAGCAAAACTGGTTGATCTACTCTGAGACGGTGCTATTTAAGAGACTGAGCTGAATACAGCTCCTCAGACTGAGGAAGTCTCTCGGATGAGAGACGAAACGGTTCTACATTTTTTTTGTTGATTTGCTTTGTTTTTTGTTTTATTTGAATGTCCAGAGGACCAGATTTAACTTTTTTAGATTTTTCTACCTGGATTATTGAGCATGCATCAGGATATTAAATCATTTTATAATATCCAATGAAGTACACTGGAAATATATTTATTAAGGCATAACAATGAACAATTACTTTCATTCTTCTTCTTTTCAGTAAATGGCAGAGTCATACGTTGGACAGCTTCGTACTAAGGGCTCCAGGATGTTTGGTTGTGCAGCATATGAGTTCACAAGCAGCATTTTAAATATGATCGTCACAGACATGCAGCCGCTGTCCGTGGTGGAAGATGAAGGATCCAGAAGATCATCTCCACCTTCAACCCAATTTTTTTTTCTCTTCTGTTTTTGTGTTTTAGAAAAAAAAGCAAGAGTTTTGCTATACCACAGACTTGACACTGAAATGAAGGTTCAACATATTATTACATTTTAAGCAATAAAACATTTTAAAAAGAAGAATTAAATGGGTTGTTTACTTAAATGTTCTTTTTCGTGTATTTGTATTACTCAAAAATTATGTTTTCGATTACTCAATCACCAGAATAATCAACAGATTAATCGATTGCTAAAATAATTGTTTACAACAGCCCTACATGAAAGAGGTAAAATGTTCAGTTAAGCTTCAGATAAACTACTGCCAGCGATCCATCAGCCCAAATGGACGTTCATTCAGCCGCTGCACTCAGCGGACGACGACCCAAACGGGTGAGATCCCAAAATATCAGACGTGTCAGAGCAGGGTCCGTGTCTGAATAATGCAGAATGCAGGCAGAAGCAGGGATTAAATGTGCTTTGACGGCCATGAAAGGACAAACACCCTCTCAGCCCTGATCCTTTGCCCCCTTTACTCAGCCGCACGCGTTTGCCGACCATTAATAGCTATATAAGCAGTCAAAGCTTAATTAAACATGTCAGGGTTTTTTTTGAGTTCTGACCTGTAGTTACTGTTAATTCATCAGGTCAGGTGGGGTTCGGAAATTATGGCTACAGGCTGGGGCCGGGTCGGATTTTTTGGGCCCAAATGCAACTCTAGTCACCAGAAAAAGAAATTCTTGCAGTGGGTTATAGTGAAGTGTTTCTGTACCTCTATCTGCTGCACAGTCAGGTCCAGGAAGGTGTTTTCATTACGGACACTGATCAGGCTCTTTGGGCCCTTGCATCCCATGCTGGTGCCAAGACCTCCGTTGAGCTTCACCACCACCAGTTTGTTCAAGCTGTGGGCCACATTATCAGGCAGGCCTGGTGCAGCAATCCTATCATATGGCTGGATCTGAACAAGGCAAACGCAAAACAGATAAAAGGTAAACACAGGTAAAGGGCTTTTGAATCCCCCCCATTTTGAAACCATTTTGAATAAGAGTTAATTAACAGCTGAGTGGTGATAAAGTATGAAAAAAGATAAAAATAAAAAAGGGTCATTCAAACAACAATGCTTTTTTTAAAACAAAAAAAGCTCCAAAAAATACACATTGTTGGATGTTTTCATGTGAAAGGTGAAGATACAGGACACATGACCTTTTGTGTGACTTATTGGTCTATAGGCATATTCAGAAGACAGTTCTGCAAAATGACTGCACAGACCAGTCAGTCTTTAGGCTTCTTCTAGTCTTTCATAAATTACATATGAACATCCCACTAACATTTGAGCTTCCAGAAATGAAGCAGTCCAAGAGGGACCAAAAGAGTCATGGAGCAAAACTCTGCCGGGCTGAAGTGGAGTGTGATGGATTAAATGTGCATCAGATGTCTGCCTCATATCAATTACTAAACATAATGAATTAACTCACTTTATCCATCCTCTTTGTGGCAACTATTTTTTAAACTAACTACAAAGTTGCTGTGTCTCATCATCAATATTCCCCCAGTAATCAATCTGGTTTTTTTTTTCCTTTCAGCTGCTCCCTGCGTTAGGGGTCACCACAGTGAACCAAGTCACATGAAGACTTGGCAGTTATTTATTTATTTATTTATTTATTTACACAGGATGTCCTTCCTGACACAACCACAGACCACTGAGCTACCACAACCCTGTGTGGAGAAGAGAGCTGCTATCTAGGACAGCCGGAGGAGCAGATGGTGGGGGTTAAGGGCCTTGCTCAAGGGCCCAGAGTGGGGCAAATGAGGGTGAGGGCAGGTGTGGGTGCTTCACCTATCCCACCCACATTTTTTTATGTTGTTGGCACCGGGGCTTGAACCGGCGATCTTCCGATCACAGGCCCACCTTCTCTAACCTCTGCGCCACCACTCCCTACCTAGAAATCAATCTGTTTGTTGCTGTTCAATTCCACAAACGGGTAGTCACATCTAATGTCATCAGTTCATTACATTACTGAGTCGCAGCTTCAAGTTATTTTTTCCTTCACACGTTGGCCCTGTTACTACCTCACAGAAGTGCATCAGATGTAGGCCGTCTATGACTCCACTCAGTGTATTATCTAAATGAACCGAAGCAGTCAGAACACGTCTCAGTCTCGGACTGAGGAGTCTTGTGAATGAGCCATATAGAAAAGCAAAAGCAAACAAAAACTTGGCAAATTGGTTGCTATAAATTCACATGAAAAATATTGTGAAATAAAATTCCTTGGAGGAATGTTTGGGATAAATCTCAGCTAATACCACAACATAATTTAGCACAAGCGCTGTAAAAATGATTATTACGGCCATTTGTATTTGCCAAGGATGATTAGATGTGGTGGCCATCTCTCATTGTGTTGTTTTTAGCAGAAGGACTCCTACGTCCATATGCTCTTTGTGGACTTCACATCTGCCTTCAATACCATGATCTCCCAAACCCAGATGGACAAACTACTCACACTAGGACTAAGCCACTCAATTTGCAACTGGGACCTAGACTTCTTAAACAGACCACAGTCTGTTAAGATTCACAGCTTCTCCACAACCACCATAACCCTCAGCACTGGCTCCCCTCAGGGATGTGTGCTAAGCCCTCTCCTGTTCACTCTGCTCACGTATGACTGTGTACCTACCAATCTAGGCTGTATTGTAAAGTTTGCAGATGATACAGTGGTGGTGGGATACATCACAAACAATGAGTCCAGTCACAGGCAGGACGTGGAACACCTGGATAGCTGGTGCAAGAATAACCTTCAAATCAATGTGAAGATGACAACAGAGATGTTTGTGGACTTCAGAAGGGACAAATACACCTACCCCTCCCGGAATATAATGCCCCTTTTGCACTGCCCCTAATAAGCCCCAATTCTGGGCTGCCCGCCACAGAAATAACCCTTTTGCACCAGCACTTTAGCTAGTATTTTTAGCTGATTTGAGGCTGATTCAGGACCTCTTTTCGTCCCTGCTTCTCTGGAGGGACTGAGCGAGCTCAGTTGAGCAGAGTCCGGACCAAAACGTGAATGCAGGACTCTGATTGGTCAGGGGGAGGAGTCACTGGATCTCAGAAACTTTACACTGATCCGCCATTTGCAATTTCTCTGGATGCGGAGCAGCGGCTTGATCTATTTTTAAGATGTTAAAAACAATAATGACACGCCATGTTTAATTCTGAAGTACAGGCATTTTTTGTGTTTGGTGACCGACGATAAAATTTGAGCGAGCGGCGTCACCGCAGAGGATCATACGAGCTGCCGAGCCATTGAAGCCCGCGAGGCCGAACCCCGAGCCCTGGCCTCACCTGCTCACAAAGGCCAGATTCCAAGTCCAGGCAGGCGGGAGGACCGAGATGGAGGGTGGAAACGTTTTTTTAAAAATATTTTATGTATAAAAAAAATAAGTTGTTTTTATTGGTGAAGATTAAAAATAAATAAACGGTGCCGGCTTTATTATGAAATCATGTTTTCACGTTGACTTTATTAAATAATCTGTTAATTAAAGTTAATTCAACTGAAAAATCAAATAGACAAAATTATTGAATCTCTCAAGAATATTTCTCTCAAACATGTTTAAAGAAGAGACACAACCTTTGGTTCAACATTATATAACTCACAGATGTAAATCACAAAACAAGCATTACACTTGGGCGGCTGTGGCTGAGTGGTTAGAGCAGTCGTCCTCCAATGCGAGAGTTGGGGGTTCAAATCCACCAGCAGTCACATGCCGTAGTGTCCCTGGGCAAGACACTGAACCCCTCATAGCCTCTGATGTGTGTCCCATCAGTGTATGAATGTGATAAAGCTCTGAATAGTCTCTTTAGAATGATTTCTTCAATTAGCTTTGTAGAGATCTAGTAGAGTGCTGTATGAATGGGTAAATGAGGCACAGATTGTAGTGTAAAGCACTTTGAGTATCTTGAAATAAGATAGAAAAGCGCTATATAAGTACAGTCCATTTACTTTGAATTAAAACTTTAAATCAAAAGTTAAACTTTAAAGCTAAAAAATAATCTGTATACAAGAAAAAAATAATCTGTATACAAGAAACAAAACCACAATGAGTGCAAATGCATCAAATGATGAAGAAAAATATAGAATTTTAAATATAGATGTCCTGATGCAAGGTAGAAAAATCTAAAAAAGTTAAGTCTGGTCCTCTGGACATTCAAAAAAGAAAAAGAAAAACAAAAATGTAGAAACGTTTCTTTTTTCATCCAAAAGACTTCTTCAGTCTGAGGTGCTGTATTCAGCTCAGTCTTATATAAATATCTGAGATGAATACAGCACCTCAGACTGAAGAAGTCTTTCGGATGAAAGATGAAACGTTTCTACATTTTTGTTTTTGTGTTTTGAATGTCCAGAGGACCAGACTTAACTTTTTTAGATTTAAATACAAATGTTTTTGTAGAATCTGGTTCATCAGATTTAATTCAGTTCAGTTTATTTATACAGTGCCAAGTCACAACAAATGTTAAACTGAACAGAAATATTCATATATAAAATAAGTTAACAGAAACTTTCACATATAAAAATACTACAGCCCCAAATCTCAAATGAGTTGAAAATGATGTTCTGTGGACGCATTCTCATCTACCTGCCAGCTGTGCTCGAGTGCCTGACCACTGAGATCCTGGAGCTAGCAGGAAACACGGCTTGTGACAGCGGAAGGACAGGATCGTCCCTCGACACCTACAGTTGGCTGTCCGCAGCAATGAGGAGCTCGGCAGACTGCTGGGAGTAGTGGCCATCGCTCTGGGAGGAGTTCTGCCCAGCATTTGGGCGGTCCTACAGCCCGGGGAAACCAAGAGGCCAGCAGAGTCTGGTGGACAGATCGGACGGCATCTGCAGCCAGTTTCTTAGGATCCACTGTGGGATGGACCTTTACAAGAGATCCTTCCTGTCTACAGCCATCAGTATCTATAACATCTCTTAATGAAATGAGGATAACGAGTTACAACAACAAAAAATTTCCCTTTGGGATTAATAAAGTATTTTTGAATTGAATTTTTTAAAAATAATAATTTAATATTTATCCGAGGAGCAGACTTCTTTGAGTAACTCATCGCAGAACTCTCATTAGCAGGACTTGGATTCTGGACACGCCTCCAGAATCGGTCCTAAAGTGCAGGTGCAAATCCAGGCTGAGGCGAGCCAGGCCGAGAAGGGGTGTGCAGGGCTGAGCAGAGTTGGGGCTTATTAGAGGCAGTGCAAAAGGGGCATAAGAGGAGGATACGTGGTGGAAGTGGTCTCCAGCTACAAGTACTTGGGTGTGCACCTGAATGACAACCTCAGCTGGGGCAACAACACCACCAGCCTGATCAAGAAAGCTCATCAGAGACTCTACTTCCTCAGACGGCTGAGACGAGCTGGGCTGGAAAGCTCAGTCCTCACCTCCTTCTACAGGTGTGCAGTGGAGAGCATCCTGTGCTCCAGCATCAACGTGTGGCATGGAGGCTGCACAGCTGCAGAAAGAAAAGCTTTGCAGAGAGTGGTGAAGGCTGCACAAAACATGTTGGAGTCAGTCTCTCCACCATCATAGACATCTACACCTCCAGATGCAGGAAAAGGGCCACCTGCATCATGAAGGACCCCACTCACCCAGCACACACACTTTTTGCCCCACTCCCCTCAGGAAGGAGGTTAAGGAGCATTAAGTGTAGAACCACTAGACTGAGGAACAGCTTCTACCCTGAGGCTGGAATATCGAACCAGAATAATCACTGTGAAAAAAAAATCCCATGTTGCTGCTGATCTGTTTCATGTTGCTGTGTTCATTCATGCTCATCTGCTCACATAGACTCATGTTCGTGCTGCTGTTTGGCATATTGATTTTAGGCCATTATTAATCTGCAGGACCAGATGAACTTTCACCTTATTTCTTAAGGCTGGCCGCTCATATCATTGCAGTCACTGTGTCCCA